CTAAACCCTAAACCCTATACACCCTATACCCCCTATAAGCCCTAAACCCCTAACCCCTATAAACCCTAAACCCTAAACCCTAAACCCTAAACCCTAAACCCTAAACCCTACACTTTTGAACCCTGACGGTGAAGGGCCTGGGGGAGCTCCGCCCATCTGTGAAGAATACTGCGGAGCGGACCTCATCTCGCCGAAATGGAGAAGCTTCGTTTAGGGTTTAGGGTTTAGGGTTTAGGGTTTAGGGTTTAGGGTTTAGGTTCCTGTAACTCGCGTTACCTACAGTTTAGCAGCCATTGCCCCTTAATTGGTTGGTAGAACCCATGAAACTGTAGGTAATTCGAGCCCCAGGTTGGGATGCAGGGTTTAGGGCAGGGTTTGGGGCTTCGGGGATTTGGCGTTTGAGGCATTCAAAGCTTGAGGGCTAGGGGATTTAGGCCTTAGTGGGCATAAGGCTTCAGGGGTTTAGGGCCCGGAAAGGCCTCAGGGGAAGGCAGCGGCCGAAAGGTTCTTGCAGCGATGTCACCGAACATTGCTACCGTTATTCAAGATCAGCTTGTTGCGTCATGTTGAAGTACTTGGAACGTAAAAGTACTGTCATAAAAAGAAAACATAGGTATGGACTAGAAGGGGTAACCTTGTCGCATGCTTTTGTCCTGACCAGCCGAATTGGCCGAATTGGTTCCACCGCGACCAATGTGAAACAACGTGAGCAGCTACTATCATTAATTGAAAAGCTTTTAGTGCCGTGATGATTTCGGAGTGGGCAAGCATGTCAACGGAAAGGACTGGTTCCGCTCGAGGAAGAGACGATGTCGATGGCCACCATCCCAAAACCCTACCACCTAAACCTGCTAACCGAGTGCGGCTGCATAATGAAGGCGCCTTAACATTTAGAATAAGGTTTTGGGGCCCATTATGCTATCAATATAATAGGGAACACCCGAAATACTATAGGTAAAATTAAGGCCCCCCAAAATAGCCGGGCAGTGCACTGTCGGAATGTAACGGGACACTGCAGAGAGCAGTTTGGAGACAGAAGCGGCAACAGGTCTAGAGGTCTAGCGCTTGGGGTTCAGCAGTTCAGGTGCCTACCGTAGGGTTTGCTGCGATGGTCTCGAACTGCTACATGGTTCAACTCTGTCGACCTGCCTTCAAGGCGTCCTGACCCCAACACCATTACTTAGGGGCTGAGTACCCTAGCCCAAAAAAAGGTTAATTAACCTTTTGAGTTGCAGTAGGATCATATAAGCTCCGAAAAGGTTAAAGGTTACTTACTCAGCTCCTGAGATTAAAAGCTAAACACCCCATGTCCCGAACCAGAGCCTGACATCCTAAACGGTATCCCGTGGAACGGAAACCTTGAATCCGAAGCCGGAAGCTGCAATCCAGAGACGTATGAACACTCAACCTCATATCGGGGCCCTAATAATCAGAATAGGGTTTTTTGGGGGGACCATGATACCATAATCATAGAAATAGGGAGCCTCCAAAATAGTATAGGTAATTATTTAGGCCAGCCCTGTCCCCCGACTTCATAACCTTGCTCACTACAGACAGGCTGAGGGCGTGTAGTTTAAAGCTCGGCTTTTCTGGATGTTTGTGGGTTACCCCGATAATTGAGTAGCAAACACTCATACAAAGCTACCTACAGAATCCCCTGAACTCGAACCTCTTCTATCCTCTGTATTCTGCAGATCTAAACCCTCCAAAACATCCCTAAACCCATCCATATTGAACTTGAGCTCTACGTAGAGTGGGACCCCAAAACCAAGACAGAATCCTACTAGACTCAACCCGGAACCATGCCAAGACCCGAGACCCAAAGTCATAACCCTAAAACCTAAAGCCTAAACCCTAAAACCCTAAAACCCTAAAACCCTAAACCCTAAACCCTAAACCCTAAACCCTAAACCCTAAACCCTAAACCCCAAACCCCAAAACTCGATACACTAAGCTCGAGGCTGCCCCCAGGTCTGTGCTGGCGGAGGCTGGCCGTAGGCCCCGGGAGCCTTGAGATGCTCAGACGGCTTAATGTAGGGGCGTTAATCATTTGAATAGGGTGTTGGGGTCCTTTAGGGTTTAGGGTTTAGGGTTTAGGGTTTAGGGTCCTTTATAGTATAAATAACAATTATTTATACTATAAAGGACCCCAAAACCCAATTATAATAAGGACTCCCCAAAAAAATAATGAAGGTAATTATTGAGGCCCCTATAATTAGTAGGCAATACAGGAGCCTGAATGGTCGGAATAGGGCTTGGTGGCTTAGGGTTTAGGGGTAGATTATAGTAGAATCAGACTAGAACCCTAAACCCTAAACCCTATACTCTAAACCCTAAACCCAATCAGAATAGTAAGGAGCCCTATACTTATAATAAGGGATGGCACTCCCAACTATTCTTCAGTGACTTCGTATGCATTACAGAGCTGAGGGCATCTTGTGTTTAGGGTTCAGGGTTTAGGGTTTAGGGTGTAGGGTTAGGGTTTAGGGTTTAGGGTTCAGGGCCTAAGTTTCGGGTGTACGGTTTAGGGACTAAGGTTTGGGGTTGCGGGGATCGCGGGCTCGCGGGGTGGCGCTGCCGCGAAGGTATGCAATGGGGGTTGAGCTTTGAGAGTTTATAAACCTAAACCCTAAACCCTAAATCTCTAAACTTACAGAGTTTAGGGTGAACTCCTTCAAAAACAGATGGAGCCTCCACCCTGAAACGGTAAAGATTGAGCCATAAACCCTAAACCTTGCTACCGTACATGCTAAGCCCCAAACCCTAGATTCTTAGATGGCACTAAAACTTGGCCTACTTCTGAACCCCTCCAAAAAGTTAAACTTTTAGCCCACATATTACAGTTCATATAGAAACCCAAAAAGTTAAAGTCTAAAGAGCCAACCAGAAGAACGCCAAGAAAACTACAGGAAAACCTGACAGACTAATGCATATCGGGGTCGGAGTCGGAATGACGATTATAGTATATACACACCAAAACCAAATTTCGAGTTCCCAAGGCCCTTATATTCAATATTTTAGGGTTTAGGGTTTAGGGTTTAGGGTTTAGGGTTTAGGGTTTAGGGTTTAGGGTTTAGGGTTTAGGGATATCCTATGATCCGCCCCTGTAACCCACGATGAAAAACTGTTCAGCCCCTACCTCTGCTTGAACTAGAGTTTTGCACTGTTGGTGTGTCACAAGCACAAGGATCTTCAGAACGGTATGTTCCTCCCTAAACCCTAAACCCTAAACCCTAAACCATAAACCCTAATCGGATTCAGGATCTCAGATCCTGCGGAAGCCTCGACCCTGATCCCCTGCAGCCGTGCACCGTAAACGCTAAAACCTAAGCCCCAAGCCCCAACCCAAAGGGCCCAAGTACCATTATAGTAGGTACTTAGTAGGTATTTAGGCCCCCAAAGTATAAACTATACTAGTACTTGGACCCTTTGGGTAAACCCTCAACCCCAAGCCCAAAACCTTAAACACTAATCCCAAACATCAAAACACTTCAGCGCTTGCAGCCGGGCGTCGTTCGCGCCGAAACTGGGGCTGGCTTGGCCAAATCCCGGTTGTGCCTCAAGATTACATGGTTTCCGGTATCATCGGGGATTTCGATTTCTATGACTTGCCACGGATCTTTATTAAGTGTTTTAGAGGGGGCATTGGGTTTCAGTTTCGTGTTCCGGGATTCTGCTGGCAAGGTTGGCGGCTTAGGCTGTTCACCCAGGTCAAGCGTTCACGGTTGAGGGTTTGGAGAGCAGGATTCGGGATTTAGGGTTTAGGCTAGGTTTAGGGTAGTGGCCAATGAAGGGGATTGAGGCACTTGGAACTGAGTGTTATATTAAGCTTGAGTTCTGCAGGGGCGAAACAGGTTCAACTTCTTTGGTAGCTGTGAATTAACTATTGCATGCAAGTAAGACGGTAAGCAACCAGGTCATATTAAGCATAGCAGCACAACGATCATACACGGCATCACTGATTTTGTCGTGGGCGTGAATGCATGCTTGATTGGGGTCGGTTGGTTCTGTACAAGTTCCGGGTAGCACTATAAGCGCTACATAGATTACTCCCTGGGCTTTGAAGTAACCAGGGAGAAAAAAGTATAGACTTTTATTTCATAATGGCTCCTTTAAGGAACAGGTCCCAAAAAAAGTATTAAAGTATGGTACTCCAAAGCCCAGCTCCTGATCCCAGACAGCTCTTCAGCTCTTCGCAACAGCCCGGCAAACTCTCGTTTGCCCAAACAAACAATGGCAAAAAGCACGCAGCCAACAGGTCAACATCAAATTACTGGATGCGTGAGCACAAGCCCTGAACCACCGTTTCTCAACCCTTGACTGGGCCACAAATTTCTGACACTTTCTCTCGAACAGAAGCTCTGTATGCAGACGAGATACGGCGTCAGGCATGCTGTGGGGCGGCATAGTAGTGTGAGGCATGCCGTGAGGTGGCATGCTCTGTGGCGGCATGGTCTGTGGTGGCATGCCGTGAGGTGGCATGCCCTGTGGCGGCATGGTCTGTGGTGGCATGCCTTGTGGCGGCATGGTCTGTGGCGGCATGGTCTGAGGCGGCATGGTCTGCGGCGGCATGGCCTGGGGCCTTGGCAAAACAGTTGGCGAGTCGGCTACTCAAATGAAGTTTCGATGCGCTGACGTTCCTAGATGAAGGCGTCTTTTTCGGTACCCTTGCAAGCAAAATCGTTTCAGCCCCCCGCGGAGGTTGAAACCTCAAACCCAAAACAACAAAACAACTAAATCCTATACGTGTTTCCCCAAACCAGCAAATTCTAGACCCGCAAACTAACCCCAAAGGCGAACACGAAAGCAAGCCCAGAGCCTGCAAAGTTCCACCGGATCGCCTCACCACTACCACCGGTGAGTGAGGCGGTGACAAGAAGTGAAACTACCGGGCATCGCACCCACAAGAGAACCCTAAACTCTAAACCCCTAAACCCTAAGCCCAGAAGGCCCAAAAACCAAAAACCACGCGGCCAAAACCATAACTTAGCTTAGGATTTAGGGGGGTTTGACCGAAACAGATTCGCGGAGTTCGCAGTGTCACTACTGGGGGAGGTTCAGAAAGCAAGAGCTCCCGCCACGATTTCTTCATTGTCCAGTAACCAGCCACCACTACAGCCACCAGCCACCAGCCAGCCAAGGTTCAGCGTTGCGCGGCTTGCAATGAACGGACACATTGTCGGGCAGAAGGTCCGCAAGATATGTCCGGAAATGACCGCCCTAAACCCTAAACCCTAAACCCCTAAACCCTAAACCCTAAACCTTAAACCCTAAACCCTAAACCCTTAACGACTAATCATTGAGCTCGGAGTTTCTGTTCGCGCAGGCCCCATGCCACACATTGCCAGAGACTCCAATACTCCTTAATTATTAAGGAATATACCTTAAATCTTATTAGGGCTCCTACTATAATTTAAGGTATATTCCTTGACTAAGGGGTATTGGAGTCTCTGGGAGATCTTCTGGCCTTGCTTCAAGCAGTCGAGCAAGGCTGCCCTCGCAGGCTCTTCAGGGTTGCAGAGCCTGCAACACAAACGGAGGTCGCTTTGCGAAAATCTGAGAGTCACGAATCCTAGGAGAAGCTACAGGTAAACCTTTGGATGACATTGGGATTATATAGAGGTTATAGTACCAAAAACACTGCGAAACGTGACAATACCCTAAACCCTAAACGCTACAGTACCTAATGTAGGGAGCTGAGTACTTTAATGAGGAACTCCCCCCCAAAAAATAACAGTATAGGTAGTTGTTAAGGCCGCTATATTAAAGGCACACTGCTTTTTGTAAGCTCTCTGCTGTCCCCAGGTCTGCGCCGGCTGCGCTGGTGGTGGCTGGCCAAAGGCCTGGCCCATGCCAGCCTCAGCGCTTGAAAAGGGTTTGGGGTTGAGTCAAAGAGAACCTACAGGTAGGGAGTTTAGGGTATATAGGGCTTCTATAAGGCTTCCATAAGGTCTATAGACCTTCTCTAAGGCTCCTATAACGGTAACTACCCACCTGAAAATGTCCTAGATTGAGTGTTCAAGGTTCTGGGTTTCGAGACTCGACCCCAACCATAAGAAACCAAGCAAACCCTCAGCCTCAAAGCCCCCAAAACGGCAGAGCCTCAATGCTCAACCCCAACAGCCCTAAGCCCTAAACCCCAACAGCCCGAAGCCCTAAACCCTAAACCCCAACAGCCCTAAACCCCAACAGCCCTAAGCCCCAAGCCCTAAACCCCAACAGCCCGAAG